CCGCGAAGCCGCCCGCGCCGCGCCGCGCCGAGGCCGCGGGCTGAGTAACATNTTAGGGTCGAGGTTCGCGGATTGCAATCCGCCGTGCACAACGAGCGGCCGGCCCACGTCCCGATCGAGTCGCACTTGCCGACCGTCGCACCGCGCGACGCGCAGAGCTCGGCGCCGCGGTTGCACGCGCCACCGTTCTGCTGCGAGTGCCGCTTCTTGCGGCCCGTCAGGCGGTCGTTGAAGCGCTCCTGGCCCTCGTTCTGGTGCCTGTAGAGCGGGCCATAGAGCTCCATCATGTCGCGCAGGTGCCCCGCGATGACTCGGATGTCGTGGACTCCGAGTCGCGTCCGGTTGCCAGCATCTCGCACGCCGTGCTGATCAAGGGGCCGCCGAGCGGGCCGCCGGCGGAGGTCCTCAGTAAGCTGGCGCCTCATCAACGAGTACTACCCGGCGGAGGTGCGGCAGCCATGGGTGCGCGCCTACTGGCAGGAGGAGACGCGCTTGATGGGGGATTCGAGCCTGACCTGGAAGTCCATCGTGTCTGGGGACCTCGTCCCGTCGTCCCCACGCCGGCCACGTGGAGCTCGCCCTGACACCATCGGTCGCCGCGGAGCTTGATCAGCGGCAGCCCACGCTTTTTGAACCGGGCGACGACGACCGCGTCGCCGCATGCCGCCGCCCGCGTCATCAACCCCCGGCCCCCGTCGAGCGAGTTCCAGCATCGAGGCAGCCCCCAAAACTCTGACACCGATGGTCCGCGTCCCCCGCGCGGCCCTCGAGGACGTGTCGGAGATGCAGCTCTGGGAGGGCCTGCTCGTCGCCGCCATGGCCATCGCCTTCTGCCACTTCGCGTTCCAGGCCATCCGGCCCGCGCCGCCGGCGAAGGACGACGGGGCCGTCGAGCGCGACCGGAAGCGGGCGCTGGCGGACACGGTCGTGCGCAGCGGCCCCTGGGAGCTGCTCGAGAAGGCGCGGCCCGGCGAGACCTTCAGCTCCCTGCGGATCGACGACGGCCTCCACGCGTTCTGGGTCGCGCGCGGCGGTGGCGAGGCCGTCGTGCGCCGCCGCGTGCTCCGGGGCTGCCTCGAGGGCCGCGTCGGCGACGAGCCGCTCAGCGGGCGCGGCGTCGCGGGCTACGCGCCCCTCGACGGCGGCGTCGCCCTCTTCGACGGCTCCGGCGCGGCGTGCCTGACGATCCCGGAGAACGAGGTCACGGGACCGGAGATCGTCCGCGTCCACGAACCCCCCCCTAACTCCCCCCACGTCGCCGGCGCGCCGGCGCTCGACGTGAGCCGCGCGACGCGGAGCCACTGCGGCGGCTTCATGCACGCGGCGCTCGTCGCACCGCGCGGGTCGGCGGTCGTCGCCGTGGACCTGACGTCAGGGAAAGAGGCCACGGTCTACGCGGGCGACGAGCCTGTGGCCGCCGCGGCCGTGTCGGAGGACGGGACGGGCCTCGTGCTCTTCGTCGGCGACCGCGTGCTCTGCGCGGCGCTGGACGCCGACCGCAGGGCGACGGGGGACGCCGCGGAGCTGCTGCGCGCGGACGCGCCGCTCGTCGGAGCGCCGGTGTTCCGCGGCGGCCGCGTCTTCGTCGCCACGGCGCGGGGCGTCCACGACCTCGCCTGGGACGGCCGGGGCGCCGGCGCGCTCCGCTACGCGGCGCCCGCCGGCGACACCGTCGCCGCCTTCGCCCTCGCCGCAAACGGCGCGCTCTTCGTCGCGGCGGGCGCGAAAACGGTCCACCCGCTCCCCGAGCCCGCGCCGGCCGCCGTGCGCGAGCTCGCCGTCAGCCCCGGCGGCGACCTCTACTGCCTCGCCGACCACGGCTGCCTCTTCAAGTACGCCGAGGCCGCGACGAAGTAACCGCTCGTCCGCGTGCGCCGCGCCGATGTGTTTTTAGGGGTCCGCGAGCGGGCGCGGGAACTTGCACTCGTGGTCGACGACGCAGCGCCCGACGGACTCGATCTGGCAGCAGGCCCAGTCCTTGCGCACGCGCCGGTAGAGGAGGGGCGACGCGAGCTTGAGCCAGCCGTAGCGCACGGACTTGTAGTTCGACTTGCAGTTGAACTCGGGCGGCAGCGCCATGACCCGCGCGTCGGACGCGAGCACGGCCTCGTTGAAGAGCCTCTGGTCCGTGACCTTGACGGTCTGCCGCTCGTAGGTGCGCAGCCAGGCGGCGAAGATGCGTTTCGCGGGCCGCCGCCGCGCGTTGAAGGCGATGACGCCCGCGTTGAGCCAGTGCAGCGCGCGCGCGAAGCCGCGCCGCATCGAGCTGTGCGTCGCCATGACGTCGTAGCGCTCCAGCGCCGGCGACAGCTCGGACCGCAGCCAGTCGAAGGACGCGCAGGGGAAGGCGTCGGCGTCGAGGTAGAGCGTCTTGTCGTAGGG